CGAGGCTCACAAAAAACCTTTGGTCTCACATGATCCTAAGTATATATAAGGCTTTTATATAATCAAAATTTCTTTCATCTTAGAGAGAAAGAGATTGAAGTAATTTGTGACGAAAAAGAAAAAGAAAAAGAAAATGAAAATGAAAAAGAAAAAGAAAATGAAAATGGGTAAAAGGGAGTTGGGTTAGTAAACGGTGATATTGACGAGAAGTGGGGGCATCAAATGTTTCATACATGTCTTGCAATCATTTGCAATAGCTACTTGATTATGACATAAAACATTTCCATGTGTTCCTTCCAACTCACTAACAACTCTTTTCTTTCATAAAACCTCCCAATTCTTTTATATCATTTTATATTTAAATTTGGAAAATTAACGTATACATAATCATTTTATTCTACTCTGTTTACCCCCTAGTCAACCCTTTCCTATTCATCAAAAGGTCAATACCTCTGTAATTATCTGTCACAGCTTACGAATAGAGCATTTTTCTATAAAACAAAACTCAAGTGCCACACAGGCTTCGAAATTCAAATTTATGGAGGAGGCATGTCACTTGTGGAGGTGCCACTCTTCACTTTCAAAAAACGGGCCATGGATAGCAAGCCAAGTAAGTCATTTGATTAATCGTCATGTGAGATAGAGAATGAGATCATAGTTTCAAACTCAAGAATTTTTTTTAATCGGTCCCTTTCATAAGTTGCAATCCAGACACTTATAGAGGTAGTATTTTTTGATTAAGTGAGAGAGGAATGACTAGGAGGCGAATTGTTACGTGGAAAACGGCTATTTCAATCGATTCCTCTTTAGATTCTCTATCTTTCTCACATAAATTAACCTTATTTGATTGGTTGTGGGCTTTTTTTTTTCTCCAAAATGGAAGCCCATTCAATCCCATTATTGTTATGTGGGTTGGACCGAACCTTTAATTAGCTTACCAATTATAAGAGTAAATTACGAATTTGGTCCATGAGGTGTATCATTTGTTACTAATCCTTTATCTTTATGTATTATAAAAAAAACTCTCTATTTGGGCAATTTATCTTGAATTTAGGGGTTGTTCTTTTGTGGCTTAATGGTCTGTATAAGCCATATAGATTATTTGCACAACCATATCTAACTGTTCGATATAGGCTTATTTGGTCAGCCCATGGCTGAATCGCTTAGCTACAAGAGTAGAGTCGTATACACTCAGCTGATCATTTTCCCTCAATACCCTTGGAAAAACACGTCTCTTCCTCCCTAAGTTCATTTATTTCTCCTCCAACAGACCCTCTACCTTACCTGAAATAAAATCGATACTCACTCTCTGAAATGAAGCTTGATTTGTTGGAAGAAACTCACTGGAATGAAGCTCGATTTATTCATTACTCTCCCCATCTCTTGCTTATGTGCCAGATCCAATGTTTCCCTTCCAGCGCCTCCGGTGATATAGTCGGTCTTCCAGTGACTGCCATCGTCGGTATCATCTTTTGATTTTTGTCGCGTCATCTTCCTCATTGCCATCATCGATCTTCTTTTAATTTTCAAGCTTTCTAGTGCCTCCTCGACGATTCTGAATGAGTTTGGTGAAGATTTGCTTTTGGATGTTTAAAGATTTGGGTGTTCCTCCCTACTCATTGAAAATATAAATCGTCTCCTTCGTTTTATTTGATTCTTTTGAATTGATTCGCAGACTTAGGGTTCATATGTTTGATATCTTTGATTTTTGACATTAGGTCTAAAAAAGTATTAAAAAAAACCCAAATTGTCTCCTTCACTGGGTCTATGACATTAGGTATGTGGAAAAAACCTAAATCAGTTAGATTGGATGGAGATTGAGGGGTAAAATAGTCATTTATGTCATTCAGACTGATTATTCAACAACTCAACAACCACTTATATGTTATCATTCAGGCAACTTTATCAATACAAACAACTGTATCCATACAAGTCTTAATGAACAACGAATCAAACAACTCCTTTGTCCCTTATGCAAACAGCCATCCATTATCATTGTTAAGTACTAGTACGAGGGCATTGTGGTCTTTTCCCCTTTTCTACTATCTTTGCATTTTTTAATTATTTTTTACATTTTCTTAAATGTTCATCTTCATCACCTTCAAATCAAAACAACAAACAATGATCAAAAAACATCTTTTTATCTTTCATCAAGAACATCAAGAAAACCCCTAAATCAAAAACCATAGAAAAATCTAAATTTGAGTCAAAAACCAAAATCAAAATTAAAAACACTAATCTAAATAACGAACAAAACCTTAAACCTTTTCGGTTTTTGTTTCCCATAGACGTTATACAAACAAATTAAAGAACAAATTAGATTCATTATCATCAAAATCATCGTTTACAACTTAAAGTAAGGAACAACCAAGAACCCTAACTCAAAAACTAAACTTCGTTGATATGAATCTGCTTTGAAAGTAGATCTACTGATATGAAAACCCTAACTTAAATCCAATGATCTAAAATATGCTTTGGAAATCCGAACTCTTGTAGATTGTGGCCAAAAAAATTACATGTAATCAACCAGAAAGGTTTTTAAGTAAAAAGAAACCTAAATCAGTTTTACCGTTCCCAAAAGATTTGATCAGTGGAAAATGTCAATAACATGATAGGCGATATGGAGAACGGACAATGATGGGGCGACAAGGAGTGATACGGTGTTTGTGTGTGGTTTATATAACGTAGAGTTTGGGAACTATAAAATTGATTTAAGTTTCTTTTTAATTTAAAACTTGCTAGTCGATTACAAGCAAAAAAAAATTAGGTTAAAATGACGTAACCAATTTTTAAAAATTCAATAATTTATTTTATTGAAAAAAGATATTTAGGGACTTAATTATTCAAAATGAGAAAATTTAATAGTTTTTTTTAAAAAAAAAAAAAATTCAAGAACTTAACCATTTAAAATGGGATAGTTTGTTGGGTTTCTAAACTTTTCCTTATAATTATAAGGACTCATTGAAATGTAATTTATCTTTTCTGCATTATAATAAGTAAACACTTTGATTTATAACAAAATTATTAGCAGCAAAGTAGAGACCAATTTTCTTCTTATCAATTGTTGGTTATATTGATTTCATAATATTGAACCAAACAATGTTAGGAGTTGTTTACCTCTTAATAGTTCCATTAAAAAGCAGCATCTGAATCGCTAAGATGTGAATCTTGTTTGACAAAAAAAGATCTGTCTCTTAATGGTTCTAAAATTATCTGAATAATTTAAAATCATGGACCTCCTTAACCATTCAGCACCCCAATTCCATTGTAAATAATTATCGAACAATTATATTTCATTTTGCACTATATTATGAGGGCTTTTTAATCATTCTGACCACTTAATCATTCTGCATCAAATCATTTAGCAACTCCCAAACAACCCCTTAATGATTCATGTCATCGCTTACCTTCTATTACTTCCAACTAACTCTAATTTTGGTCCCTGAGGTTTAGTGAAATACTTGAAGTGAGATATGAACTTTGATAATTCTAGACAACATCCTCGTGGTTCTCATTTTGCTCTTAAATGATCTCTAGTCACTAACTCCGTTTATTTTCTTTGTTAGAGGGAGGGCAGTTTCATCCATTTAGTTTTTTTACTTATTTCCCCTGTCTTTTCCTGTTTTGATTTTGACCTATTAATCATTTCTTTTTTATTCTACTAGAAATAGAAAAAAAATGATTATTTAACAATATTGTTTTAGTATTATACACACACATACACACATGTACATATATACAACATAGTTGCATACATCAGGAAAGATAACTGCCCCCCTTCGTCAGTGACCCCCAACCCATCCTTTCATGTTTGTCAATGACCTGCCACCCCGTCTCCTTCTTTGTCATCTTCCACCCACAACAAGTTCACTAGGTAATGGTTTCCATTGAAGAAAAAGAAAAAGAAGAAAAATGGAAAACCACCCAAACCAAACCCAAAAACCAAAAACTAAACCTACACCCAAATCTAGACCACCATTCACTCCTTCAGTCTAGAATCGAAAACCACCCCTTCCTTCTGATTTAGAACCATTAACCCCACCCCCCCGGTTTGTATCCAGATATGAACCAGGAAGTCTGCAAAACACACACACATATCACATCATCTATTGAAACAAAGTGTGTTTGTTTCAATGAAGACAAACAAAGAGTGTGTATAGGGGTGTTGTAGTGTGTGTTGTTTTAACAACATGAAGTCTTTACATGTGTGTGCATTATATGTGTGTGAGAGATATCAACATTAAGGGGGCATTCAGTTAACATAATGAAATTTAGTAGAATTGGAATCCATCAAGGAATTTGACTTTAAAGGAATTGAAATTGAATTTGACCATGCGTTTGGTTTGTAGGAATTGGAATCTCCATCTTTGTTTGGACCACCACCAATCTCCCAACCTCTGCCCCCGCCCACCCTATCCATACCGACCATCATACCACTACTGTCGTCGTTACAGCTGCCATCCCACCCCACACTCGTCCACCCCCTTCTCACCCACATGGGTGGATAGTGGCAGGGGGTAGTTGTGACGACACTATTGGCATGGTGGTCAGTAGGGTGAGGGTGTGGGTGGGACGGAAGGGGGGGGGGAGACGGTTGTTGGTAGCTATGACAATGACAATAATCGCATGATGGATGGTATGGTGAGTGGCGAAGGGACAAGGGTGGGTTTGGGAGTAGGGTGGTAGTTGTGACGACGACAGTAGTGTCATGGTGGTTGGTATAGGCAGGGGTGGATGTTGGGGTAAGGTGGGGGTGAGTGGCGACAGGGTGGCCTGGTGGATGAGGTAGGGTGGGTGGTAGGTGGGGGCGTAGGTGAGTGATGGGCAGAGGTGTAGTTAAGGTGGGTGAGTGTAACAATGACAGTAGTGGCATAGTGGTGGGTTGGGGATTGAGGTAAGTGGGGTGGGTGGCGGTTGTAAATGTGACAACAATGATATGGTGGTGGGGGTTAAAATAGGGGTGTGATAATGACAACAGTAGCATGGTCATAGTAGGGATGTAGGGTGGGTGGGTGTGATGAAAACAATACTGTCATGGTGGTCATTAGTGGATTAGGGGTTGGGGTGGGTGGCGGTTGTGACAGCAACAATAGTGGTTTGGTGGTGGGGGGTTAGGAGTGGGGCGTGACGGTAACAATAGTAGCATGGTCGTTGTGAGGGCAAGAGATGGAATCAAATCCTTCACTTATGCTAAGGAATGATCAATTCCTTAATTTGTGAAATTCAATGGATTCCATCTATTTTAATATGTGAATCAAACAAAGGAAATGAAAATTCGGTAAAAGGAATTATATATATATATTCCATTAGAGAGTTCGACATCATTATTAAACGACGTTTGGTGTTGTTATAGTCGACTCCTTCTTTCAATGTCCAATTTAAGAGGAAAAATAAGAATAATAATGCATATTAAGCAATGATAGTTATTTACAGATCTCCAACATTCGTAAAAGCTTGTAGAGTTCCTTGATCAGGTAAAAAGTAAAACCATTTTAACGATTATCCATTTTTCAAGGCTATTAACGAAATTTTATTCTACTTGAAAAAATGAAATGAAAAAAATGGACCATGTGGTTGTTTGTGTGGTGGTGGGTTGACCTTTTTCACAAATATTCAAAAGGGTTCGAGAGTCCAGGTGTCAGCCACGTGGACATCAGTTGATGAGGTCGGATCACCGGATGGTTGAAATTCAAGTTTTTACATTACAAATCTCCATCATCATCCTCTTCCTCTCAATTTTTTTCAATCTCCATCAAACCCCAAATTCTGCCCATCAAATTCCAAATCTCCCACCCACAAAATGCCCCAGAAAGCTACCTAGGGTTCTTCCATCCATTCTTCGTTATCTGTGTTTCTGTTTGGAATTGGGGGGAGGGTTCGTGTAAAAGGGTTATTTGCAGAAACCCCCCCAATTAAATGGGAATTGCCAACACGAAACACAGATTATTCTCCAATAACGATGACACCCCAGCTACACCGCCTCCTCCGCCTCCGCCGCCTCCGGTTGATAACCAGAAGGCATTGACGACGACGGCAAAGAAGAATCAAAACCAGGTGGTACCGAAAAGATCGCCACTTTTGGCGGTTTACGCCCTAACTCCTACGACGCGAGGGTTCTTCAGGAGGCCGTTTGCACCGCTGTCACCGGCACAGCACATAAAGGCGGTTCTGGCACGGTGGCATGGGACGTCCAAGGCCAATGCGACGGCGGCAGCGGCGGCTGAAGGGGAGGAGGGGGAAGAGAATGTGAGGCTGAACAAGAATTTTGGGTTTTTAAAGCATATTAGGCGTAAATATGAGTTGGGGGATGAGGTTGGCAGAGGTCATTTTGGGCATACTTGTAAATCTAAGTTTAAATATGGGGAACTTAAAGGTCAACAAGTCGCAATCAAGATTATTCCAAAGTCAAAGGTTTGTATTATCGACAATCCTAACTTCTCCTGCAAGAAACCTGTTTTTAAAAACATGTTACAAAGACAAAAACACGTTACAAATACGTTAACATAAGAGAATATTTTGACCCACTCAACTGCTAAAGCTAACACTAACGTGAGGCCCAAGATTAAACCCGGGACTTGAATTCATCATATAGCCTTCATTTTAAAAACTTAAAAAGGGAAAAACATATTTATGGGTCTAAAGAAAGACGAGATGTAGAAATTAAGACATACGATTATCAACTTAAATGTTTGCTAACTAGCATTGAATCTATTTCCTCAGATGACAACAAGTATTGCGATTGAGGATGTAAAACGGGAGGTAAAGATACTAAGACTTTTGACAGGGCATAGCAATCTAGTAACATTTTATGATGCATACGAGGATCATGATAACGTCTATCTCGTTATGGAGTAAGTGTTGCATATGGTTACCGTTTTATGCATATTCTATTTTTTTATATCTGTTTAATTAGTGATTGATCTTTTTAAACCAATATATTTTCATTTTTGTTATAAACTAATTGTTATTCTTATAAAAATATATAAAAAAGGCATTGTATTTGCATTTATGTAAGAACAACAATTTGTTTATATAACAAAAAGTCAATCATTTAGATTGTTGGACTCAATGATTGTTGGGGAAGTCCAATTTTTTTTAAGTATCTAATATTTATATACAGTAAATAGAACAAATAAATTCAAACACCATTCTCACATTTAGTGAGGTTTAAACGCTTGGCCTCTTAGGAGGTCAAAGACTCACGTACCGTTAAGTCAAGATCCCCTTGTAAGCTCAATTGTTGTTGATGTTGTCATTATTTGGTTGTTTATGAGTTAAATTATGGCATGTTTTTCAGGTTATGTGAAGGAGGGGTACTTTTGGACAGAATAATTGCAAGGTTTGTATTTTCATCATGAACTTCTTGTTGTTTTTTTTTTTTTTTGGAAAATTGCATCATTTCTTTTTAAATATTAAAATAAGAAAGGGAGTTTTATTTGAAAATATGTTGTTACAGGGGTGGGAAATACACTGAAGATGATGCGAGGAAATTAATGATACAAATGTTGACTGTCGTTGCATTTTGTCATCTACAAGGTGTGGTTCATCGGGACCTAAAACCCGAGGTCAGATGTTTACCAGTCTCAACGACTTGATAACCGTAACGAATTTTTCCATCGATAAAAGCCTTTCGTTTTGTAGCGTTTTTATCTCGTATAACTAATGATTTCCAATTTCTGATGAATCAGAACTTCTTATTTGCATCCAAAGACGAAGATGCCGAATTGAAGGCCATAGATTTCGGTTTGTCGGACTTTGTCAACCCAGGTACGCCCTCTATTCATTCAATCGGAACATTAATTCGGTTAAAAACGAAGAGTTACAATCTGTATTATATTTGCATGCATGGGTGCAGAGGAAAGACTGGATGACATAGTTGGAAGTGCATACTATGTTGCTCCAGAGGTTCTACAAAGGTCATATGGTACGGAAGCGGATGTATGGAGCGTGGGCATTATAGCGTACGCCCTTTTGTGTGGTAGTCGTCCCTTTTGGGGTCGTACCGAGTCAGGGATCTTTCGAGCTGTTCTTAAAAACGAACCAACTTACGATGATGCCTCTTGGTCTAATCTATCCATCCTCGCTAAACACTTTGTTAAAACCTTATTGAATAAGGATCCTAAGAAACGATTAACCGCTGCACAAGCATTGTGTAAGCTACTTCTCCCTGATTATATAACCATTTTAATTACTATATATTATAATCTCATTATAATTTTTTGTATTAATTTTCAGGTCATCCATGGATTAGAAATGGTAACCAAGTCAAGAAAGCACCCTTTGATATATGGATACCCAAGTTTGTGAAACGTTATATCTGTTCATCCAATCTGCGGAAATCTGCTTTAAGGGTACCAACATATAAATATATATATATATATATATATATATATATATATACACACACACATATGTGTATATTAATGATTTTTAAGTAGGATATTAATGATTATAATTGTAATTAACAGATGCAAGTATATGTTTTAATTTTTGGTGGTGCATGTAGGCTCTATCGAAGACCTTAAATCAACATGAGTTGGTGTACTTGAAGGAGCAGTTTTCGTTGTTGGAGCCGACAAAAGGATACATTAACGTCGAAAGTTTCAAAACGGTCCGTTATAATTCCTAGACATGGACAAGGTTTAACTAATTATATGTAACGTTACTAACTAATCGGTGTGTATGGATCAGGCGGTGACGAAATACGCTACTGGTGCAATGAAAGAGTCTTGTATCAATGATTTCTTAGAATCGGTATATATATATATATGCATTGATTCAGTATTTAATTATGTCTGTGTGTGTGTATATATATATATATATATATATATAACTAAGTATGATTAATGATGTATGTATGTGTGTATATAGGTTTGTAAGCTTCAATATAAGAAGATGGATTTTGAGGAGTTCTGTGCAGCTACTGTTCGGGTCCATCAAATAGAGGGTCGGGATGGATCCGAAGAACAAATTCGTGCAGCTTATGATATATTTGAGAGAGACGGTAACAGATCCATTATGGTCGAAGAACTCGCTTCTGTAAGTTACATTTTTTAATCAAACAAATTATATATATATACATGGTACTTATAATTATATATATATGAATGATAATATGAATTGATGGATGTTAGGAACTGGGTCTTGGGCCATCAATTCCGGTTCGTGACGTGTTGGACGACTTGATTCGGCCAACCGATGGGAAGCTTACTTACCTTGGATTCGTCAAAGTGTTGCGCGGTCATGTATCGCGTAGGAACAATATTCCCAAACCTTAATATATACTAACATTCTACAATGTTCCAAATTAACTTTCATGTAACCTTAATTATAGAACCATGTAAATTACATATTATATATTAATTAATTAGAATGTATATATACACAATTAGAAGTTGTTTAATAATTGTTGAATAGTTTTGTGCAGAATGATTGAGTGGTCAAAATGATTAAGAGACTCTCATAATATAATGTAAAATAAAATATAATTATTTAATAATTATATACATTAAATTTAAGCTCTTAATAATTAAAAGAGATTCAAGATCCAAAATCATTCAAATTTTAAAAACAAACTATTTTTTATGAAACAAGATTATCTCTTAGAATTAATTTTATTTTATAATAGAGTCTAATGGTTTGCACTGGATTCCATCATGGCTCCTTGGTTTCCCAATCCTTTGACTATCAAAACGTCAACGTTCCATTTCAGGTTTGGGCACTATTCTATTCTTCTAAAGCATTTTCAACCTAAATTTTTATAATCTTTCTAAAATAGAAAATCAGATTTTTTTTAAATTACATTTAACTTCTGATAATTTCTCTAATTTTAAAAAATGTATTTATCTCTTAACAGTAAATTTAAAGACTTCTTCGAATTTGATTGGGAAAATTGCATCAAAATGGAACAAACTTTCACCTTATTCCTATTTTGGGGAATCAACTTTCAAAATTATCATTTATGGGTCTCTATCAAACTTTTTGTTTATTTAAGGGCTTGGTTAACCTGTTGAATAGGTAACAGGTAATTTAATATGACTTGGCAAAAAATTATTTAAACAAATATTATGTGGAAATTATTTTGACAAATCATCATTATAATTAAAAGAAATCAAAATGAATTATGCCAAATCATCATTGTAATTAAAAGAAATCAAAATGAATTATACCTTCACGTCTCCTACCTCAGTCACAATTTTGCCTCTCCATCTTCCTTCCATCGTCTCCGACAGCGCTGCCCTTCAATCGCCATCTTCCTTCCATCGTCTCCGACAGCGCTCACCTTCAATCGCCATCTTCCTTCCATCGTCTCCGATAGCGCTGCCCTTCAATCGCCATCTTCCTTCCATCGTCTTCGACAGCGCTGCCCTTCAATCGCCATCGTCGCCCTCTCCAACAGTGGCTACCCTTCAATCGCCGTCGTCGCCCTCTCCGACAGCCGCTGCCCTCTCCGGCAGGCTGTCCTCTCCGCTACTCTTTTCAACAGGTATCCACTATCTGTGTTTTTTTGTGTCTATAATCGTACATCATCGGATATATGTGTCTGTAATCATACATATCTATTAGTCGCATTGGTTAATCTTCTCTGTTGATGTGGTGTTGTTTGTTTGATTGTCTGAACCTAATTATGATGGTTTCTTGTATCTGTAAGTAAACATGCATATTCGAAAATTCATATAACTTAGACAGACCTGTAGTTCAAAAGGGAAGATTACAAGCAGAGACCATAATGGAATGAAATGTAAACAAAAAGACAGCAACTTTATTACTTAAAATAAAACTAAGCAAACTATTTTGCAAATGGAGATGGATTTAATTTAATCCACTCATGTTTCCAGTTACTTGATGATTACAACCTTTCTCCTTTGCATGAACAAGGAGTTGACTACATGTTTCTCTTGTCTTTCCTTTGCAATGGTTAAACCGATGTTAAATTCATATTATGATGCTCCTGTGTTAAACAATGTCTTAGTCTTTTTTTAGAACGTAGGGACCGTTTATCAAACTCTTACTCGGGTAAGTGAACATCAAGACACATTACCTTACCGGATAAATATGGTAAGGACCAAAAATCTTACCCGGTAAGAGCGAGACAAGGACCAAGAGTCTTATCCGGTAAGGGTGACGACTCTTACCACGGTAAGCACTTACCGGGTAAATTGTTGCATACAATACCGTTTGGTTGGACTAAAATCTTACCCGGTAAGTCAATGACAATGTTAAATTTTGCGGGTAAGCATTTACCCGGTAAGTTTTTAGTACGGGCCCTTACATTGATTTGACTCATAAAGAAACTTTCACATGGAACAGTTGCTTATGCAATTAAGCATACAAGACAATTGAAGGGATGGAGGGATGCTTGATATGTGTAGATCATGGAACAATTGCTTAATAGCAATTGAAGGGATGGAGGGATGCTTGATATGTGTAGAACAAATGAACTTGACCCAAGTAATAAAGTTCCATAAATTTTAAAAAGTTGCATAAAGTTGTTCACCTTTTCTTTATCCAAAATAACCCAAAAGATGGACAAAGTGATAATATAACAGAAGAAATTATGCAAACCTGAAAGGACAAAAGTTGACTCATCAACTGGACACCTAATGTTAAATATCTTAAATGAAAAGACACACAAATCACAAGGAGGTAATTTTATTCAAAAGCACATGCCAACCAACCAAAATAGATGTTGTAATTTCTATAAAATAATTATATATTAATGCTACACTAGGACCAAACCTGCCACAATGCCATTATCCTCCAACTTCATCCCTCTCATTATTGTTATCAGTTTATTTTCATGTGATTGCAATGTGTTTGCTACCATTGTTTTCATATTGAGATTTTCAAAAAGTTTATTTTCAGATCCGAAGAGAACCAATATGAAGATCAATTTGGCTATAAATCATGGCGGCATGTTCCAAACAAATCCATTCTATTATGGAGGTAAAGTTGCATATTTGAAAGATTTCGATGTAAGTAACATAGGCATTAGAAGCCTAAGACAAAACATTGAAGATTTTACTTCATCTGAAGTTAGTCGAATGTATTATAAGGTTCCTAATACAGATTTGGAAAAAGGATTGAAACCCCTTGATAGTGACAAAGATGTTGAAAGGTTGTTTAGTTATGGTATGTTGTCGGCACAATTGGAAATTTTTATAGATCATTTTAACATTGATATTATTAGTGAGTTCTTGAATAGTAATTATGATGATACCGTTGAAGAGGATTATGTTACCGGTAGTGATGATGAGATTAGTTTTTCCGATGTTGATGATGACGAGGTTGCTAGTGTAGATCATTTATCGGAARRGGATGATGAGATTAGAGARGTTAGAATGAGAAAAATCAATAGGGAAGTGGAAGATGTGAATGTTGAACATGCAATACATTCTTGTAATGCAAATGTTCGAGTCCCTAGAGATTGTAACATGGAAAGAGAAAATGAGGTACAACCACCACCATACCAACATGATGATTTTTTGACAGAATTATGTGATGAGTACGATAGGGATAGGTTTGTTGAAGACGTCGTTAATTCCGAAAACGAAAATGAAATGGTTGAAGATGATGAGGCCAAAACCAATGAACTTCCAATTCACAATCCAAATGTTCCTTGGAACTTAATGAAACCTCAAGTTGGTGAACGATATGCATCGGCCTTGGAGTTAAAGAATTGCTTGGCAAATTATGCACTTTCAAATGGCCTTCAACTTAGGTATGCCACTTATCTTGTTTACTTACATGCATTTATTATTTAATTACTAACGTTTTTCTGACATATTGTTATCAATGAAGGTATCTAAAAAACAGCAAAGACAAGTTACATGTTGTGTGTGGACCTCCTAAAAAAGGATATGAAAGTAGTTGCCCATGGAGATTATGGGCATCTTGGATGAAGGATGAAAAATCATTCCAAGTCAAGTCACTAAATGATGAGCACAAGTGTGGGAGAAATTACATGTTAGGTTCACTTGTGAATTCCAATTGGATTGCTAAGCAATATGGGARGAAGATTAGACAAAACYCATCTATCAAGTTAGTTGATTTGAAGGAATCCATTCTAAAAAAATACAAGTGCATTGTTCAGTTGGGTCAATGCCAAAGGGCTAAGGCCAAGGCATTGGGGGAAGTAGAAACGRCTCTAATTGAGCATTATGGAAAGTTATGGGACTACGGTGARGAGRTTAGAAGGAGTAATCCAGGATCAACGGTTAAAATTAGTGTCGAGATAGGACCAAATAATAGAAATTATTTTCAAAGATTTTATGTGTGTTTTAAGGGTATTAAAGAAGGTTGGTTGTCAGGGTGTAGGAGATTCATTGGCTTGGATGGATGTTTTCTAAAAACCGTATGCAAGGGAGAATTGTTAAGTGCGATAGGAAAAGATGGTAACAACCAAATATATCCTCTTGCCTGGGCAGTGGTGGAGGTTGAAAATAAAGATAGTTGGAAGTGGTTTTTAAATTTTCTAATGGAGGACATTGGATTGACCAATGGGTTAGGGGTAACATTGATGTCAGATCAACATAAGGTAAATAGTATACTAATAATTAACTGCACACACTTACCAATCTATTATGAATGTGATCTTCTAATTAGTTAAGTGCATTTTGCTAATACATGGACTTGTTGAAGCTGTTAAAGAGGTATTCCCACTTGCTGAACATCGTCAATGTGCTAGACACATATACGCCAATTTCAGGAAGAAGTACACCGGTATCCAATTCAGATCTTTGTTTTGGGCTGCATCCAAGTCAGGGACACCACAAGAATTTGAAGGAATTATGCAAGAAATTAAAAGTTTGTCTCCCCATGCTTATGAACATTTGATGGAAAGACAAYCGTCAACATGGTCAAGGGCTTTTTTCAAGATCGACACATCATGTGATGCTGTAGAAAACGGAGCAAGTGAGTGTTTTAACTCTTTGATTGTCTCATCTAGGAGAAAACCTATAATAACAATGCTGGAGGAGATTAGAGCTCTTGTTATGGAAATAATGGTTAGGATGAACAACAAAGCATGCAACTGCGATGATGAAATCTGTCCAAATATAAGAAAGAAAGTTGAGCAAAATAAGGAGCTAATGCGGTATGTTTATCATTATTCTTCTGTATGCATATAAGGTAATTTGTTTCATAAATATGACATTATGGTTTGCTAATTTTTTTTTTTGCAGATTTTGGCGTGTTGCTCCCAATGGAGGGAATCTTTTTGAAGTAAGACAAGGACTAGAGGGTTTTGTTGTCGACACTCAATGTAGAACATGCACTTGCAGAAGTTGGCAAGTTTCTGGAATTCCTTGTCCGCATGCTGTTGCAGCCATATACTTCATTCACCAAGATCCAGCTAAGTTTGTGTCTCCTTTCTTGTCAAAAGTAAAGTTCAGTAATACATATAATCATAGGATCAATCCTTTGAATGGGATCAAACTTTGGCCAAGGACAAATTTTGCCAAACTTTCCCCCCCAAAGTCTAGACGCATGCCTGGCAGACCTACAATAGCCAGAAGGAAAGATGCAAGTGAAGGAAGTAGTCACACTAGAAGAAATGCACATGGCCATGAAGCTGTAGCCAAATCGGGGAGAAAGATGACTTGCAGAAATTGTTTGGAGGTAGGACATAATTCTAGGAGTTGTAAAAATAAAAAGAAAGATGCACCGATTTGTCCAAAAAATCCAGTTGGTAGACCGAGAAAAAAAAAACATAGAAGAGGAAGATTTAGTTATTGGAAGCAATATAAGAGGAGGGGGTTCAAGAGGAAGGGGTTCAAGAGGTAGGGGTTCAAGAAGTATGAGTTTGCGAGATACGATTATAGGGGTAAGTATAATAATTGCGATTCACATTGTGTTTGAATGAATCAAATATTGTAGCTAAAGTATGTTTATTTTGCAGATTTCACAGGTTAGTTTTGAGACGAGTATACCAATTGCTATTGGGGAAGGTATTTTCTATATGTATAAGCACAATGTATTTGCATATTTGCATATATTTACATATTTGCACTAACTTGCATATGTTTACATAGGGCAAGTTGATAGAGGTGATGCGCAAATTCCTGATGAAGTTCGATCAGTTCCATAGTTTACAGTTGATGGTTGACTTTGATAAGGATGATTCAAGCAGTCGAAGATTGAAGATTTTCAACCATTTTTTTTGTAACAATGTCTTGTCATCGACTTTATTCTAATCTTGATGATTTGAACGTGTAAGCAAACTTTTATTTTGGTTTGATTTGTCAATTTTGATTTAAACTTTAAAATTGATATGGATTGGTTGGATATAAAAATCTTGAATTTGATATTTGATATTTATTTTTTATTGCATCAATTAATTTTTTCATTGCATTAGTAAAAAATAATTTTTATTTTGGTAATTTGGATTTTTTTTTGAAAAAATCTTCAATTTAATATTTGAATTAAAAAAAACGAGATTTRGAATRAAAAATAGATTTTATTACAATAATTTTTGAAAAAAAAATGAATTTTAGTTATTTTTTAATAATTATTTTACAATTTTAAATATGACGTGTAATATTAGTTTTAAAATAAAAAATTAATATGACATGGAATATTAGTTTTAAAATAAAAAATTAATATGACGTGGAATATCTTAGTTGGCAAAAGATGTGGATGATGTCAACATTAACAGGTCAACCAGACCCTTAAATAAACAAAAAGTTTGACAGAGACCCCTAAATGACAATTTTGAAAGTTGGTTCACCAAAATAGAAATCAGGTGAAAGTTGGTTTCATTTTGGTGCAATTTTTTCAATTTGATTTCTTCTTGTTTTTATTTATTATTTTATAATGTTCCAAAAAATATTTTAAGCAAAAAAAATCTCCAAAATATTCAAATTTCTTTGAAATGTTCTAAATGTGTTAAATACATTAATGCCATGTTTTGGTTTAAATGAATGCTAATTATAATTTACATGTAAATTTTTTAATGATGATGAACAAATATGTGAAATTGTATACATTTTATTTATAAATTCAACAATATGGGTAAAATAGACAATTTAAACAAATTCATAGGTTTATTAGTTTACAAAAACAAACAGTCTTATTAATTCAGATTTCAGACGTCAACACCACCTCTTATAAATCATAAGTAAAATAAAACTTCAGATTTCAACACATTTTAAAAAACAAACACCACCTAACGTTTAAGTAGAAGTCCATCATATAAGTGTCTACTATTTTTCTGTTCTTACTCTATTTCCAAAAGAAAAAAAAAGTGAACATTCCTTATGAGAGAAGATATACAATTAGCAAATTAGATAAATATTCAATATAATTAAGAATAAAAATTATCTAATACACATATAAAACCATAATCATATTAATTTATAGCAAATTTAACGAATCCTTACATATATAAAAGTAAAACCTTCGGATATTAAGGTGACACCGTGAGAATTGAGTATTCTCAAATGGTGAATTGTGATTGAGTTTTAATTGTCCCATATTGGTGAAGATTTAAAAATTTTGAACAAAATGAAGTGTATAAAAAAATGGATGGTGTCTTTGTTTCAATTCATGGGGTTTTTCTTTTATGGTTGTCTTATTTTGGATGATCCTCAATGAAATCTATAATCATGATTGGAATCAAAATCAACCAAATGTTAAAAATCATAATACAAAACTAAAAGTGAAACCAATGATGATGATTTGGCAACATGAGGTTCAATTCTTTTTAAATCTTGATTAAAGTTGATTTTTATCATCTTACATTGGTGGAAAGATTTCAAAGAAGATGATAGATGTATAAAAGCATAATAAATGCTTTGAAACCTATAACCATGGTTGAAATCAAAACCAACTATTTTTATATCTTTATATATACTATAAGAGTACTCGCGTAATGCACCGAGACACATCTCGATTTTAATGTTTTATTTTATTATTTGTCTTTATCGATGTTATAATACGATTTTATGTGTTTTTAAAAAAGCAATAATGATTTTAAATATAAATTTGAAGATATCATAAAAGTTTGAAAAAAAATTATATCAATGTTAATATCAAATCAACTATTTAAAAGTTTTCATTTTTTATATAATTTCTTTTAATTTATTTTTTATTATAATTTAATTTAAGTTTAATAATGAAATAATTTATTTTTGGTTTAATAATATACTATTTTATGAAGATAATAATTAAGTATTCTGTTAGAACTCAATAATTATCCTAATTATATTTTAGATTTTTTATATTTAAAATGATATGTTTATCCTGTATTTGATTATGTTTATCTGCAGTTAGTTACACGAATTCAGATATGGAGCTTAATAAGTTGTACTTACGCACAATCTACTTGCAATCATGAGTTTTAAGAAATATGCATTAATAAATAGTACTTTACGCATAAAAAATGGTTTTTAAGATTTTTATTAAATGTTTTATAATATAGTATATATAGATAAAAGGAAAAACTTGGGGTATTGAGGTGACACCATGAGAAATTGAGTATTCTCAAATGATGAATTATGGTTAAATTTTAGTTGTCCTACGTTAATGAGGAGTTGAAAGATTTGAACAAAGAGAAGTGCATAAGAAAGGTGGATTGGATGTCTTTGTGTCAAATAATGAGATTCGCATCATAGGGTTATTTAATTTTGGATGGTCCTCTTTGAAATTTATAATCATGGTTGGAATCAAAACCAACCAAATGCTAAAAATTATATTGCAAATATAAAAGTGAAACCAAGGATGATAACTTGGCAACATGAGGTTTGGTTGTTCCTTAAATCTGAAATAATGTTGACTTTCATCATCTCGCATTGGTAGAAAGATAATAGTTTCGAAGAAGATGATGGATGTATAAAAATGTTGTGGAACTTTGAAATCTATAACAATTGTTGAAATCAAAACCAACCAATTGGTAAATTTTTTGTGCAAAACGAATGCAAATTATACATTTTTTTTCTTAACCAGAGTTGTAACTATTGTAGTACTTATAATAACAAATATAAGTTAGGTATCTATTATATCACTTATATATAATGAAAGTGTTGACTTAATGACGTGTTTTCATCTTATGTTAATATTCTCCAAATCGTGATTTAAGTGTTGGATGGGGCGTTATAAATATAAATATAATCCAGAGTTTTTAGATATATTGCACTTCAGCTCGAGTCGAGGTTTTACGTTTTTTCTTAAATTGAGTTTTGATTACCATGCAATGCGTGGTGTCGAACACTAGTTTTAAGTAAGCCAACATAAATGTCTAGTATTAGAAATATATTTATATTATATTATAAAACATTTGACAAAAAATTTTAGAAATCATTTTTATGCATGAAATACTGTTTATTGATTGCATATTACTTACAATTAAAAAATATATATAAATTGTGCGTAAGTACAACTTATTAAAGCTTCATGTTTGAATTCATGTAACTAACTGCAGATAAAAATAATTAAACATATGATAAATATCTCATTCTAAATACGAAAAATCTAGAATATAATTATTGAGTTATAACAAAATACTTAATTATTATATTTATAGAAAAATTATATTATTAAAACAAAAATAAATAACTTATTTATTAAACCTATCTATAGTTCTATATTATATTAACATTCAACAAAAACTCTTAAAAACTATTTTTTATGCATGAAATACTGTTTATTGATGCATATTACTTAAAATTCAAGATTACAAGTAAACTGTGTATAAATACAACTTATTAAAGATTAATATTTAAATTCATATAACTAACAACAGATAAACATAATCAAATACAGGATAAACATCTCATTTTAAATATAAAATATAAATAGGATAATCATTGAGTTATAACTAAATAATTAATTATTATATTTATAAAAAGATTTATTATTATGTCTAAATTAAATTAGAATAAAAAAAGAAAAATTTTAAATAGTTAGTTTGATACTAATATGAATATTTTTTTTTCAAATTTGGAATATCGAAAATTCGAGAGCAAGAATTTCCAGGAACATTTGGAACATTTCGTTTCTGAGCAGAAGAGCCATTTTCAAGTAGTGTTTGATCGATTACGTATTAATCAATATTCGATTTACCGACAATTTTTTTTTGTCTAAGCCACTTCGTTTATTTATGTCCAAGTTGCTTCTTTTTTTGTCTAACTTACTTCCTTTTTTGTTTGTCAGTTTCGGGAATATCGCGATTCATAGGTTCGAACTGGAAATAAAAAAACCTTGTTATGAGCTATCACATGCATTTCCTTTTTTCTATTTGACTTTGTATATAAAATATAAAATTTTTATTAGTTCCATCTATTCCCGATATATTTCTTTATTCCATTACTCGTTATATTCTAGTCAATCCAATTGGTTAAATTGTCGTTCATAATTGAAATGAATTGAGATTGATAAGGAGTTGGTTAATGATGCTCGAACATGTACTTGTTTCGAGTGCCTATTTATTTTTTGTCGGTCTATATGGATTGATCACAAGTCAAAATATGGCTAGGGCTTTTATAATATCTTCATGTTTATATTCTATTCAAAAATAAAAAAATTATCGTTTTTCTTAAAACCACATAAAATCGTATTATAACATCGATTGAGACAAAAAAAAAACGAAACACTAAAATTGAAATGTATTTCGCTTCATTGTTCGAGTACCGTGATTTGATTAATATTGGGTGGAGATATTTGCAACCCCCCCCCCCTCCAAATACACCCTTCCTTTATAGGTCAACATTGTTTTCTGAAGAAAAAAAAAATTAATACTAACTATTATATCAAAAATATTATAATTAATTTCAAGTAATTTGTTTTAATTTTCTTTTTTTCTAAATTTATGTTTTAATTTTTTTATAAATTTATTTTCTAAATCAAGGTGACTCGAATTTACGTCTTTTCTCATTTTTTTTTTTTAAATTTATGTTT